AGTTTTTTGATGTGTTCTTGAGCATTTTTGAACGTTTTGATGTGTGTGTTAGCGTTGTTTTGCAGTTTGGACAACTCTCAAGAAAATACCACTATTGGGAGTCGGTGATGAGCAAAAATGATGATCAATGAAATGGAGCATGAATAAGCAAGTATTGAATAAGATTGGAGTGGAAAATAGGCTTGGAAAAATAAAGAGAAGAGGAGTAAAGCAGTGGCATTGGCGCTATAGCGCCGAAAAAGGGGCGCCATGGTGCCCCAAAGAGAGGCAATTCCAGCAGAAATCTGAGCGCCATGGCGCCCAAGGAAGAAAAAAAGAAGCAGAACATTCGGTGCCACGGCACTAGACCTGGGCGCCATGGGCAGAGACTTGGGCGCCACGGCGCCAGATCTAGGCGCCATGGTGCCCATTACCAAAACATTAAAATCCGGGTTTTTAAGTATCTTTTCGGCCCAAAAGTCATACCCTAACCCTTGAGGACCTTTAGAAAATATAAATACCCAACTGAAGAACAAGAGAAGGGGGTTAGACGGCTAAAGAGGCAAGAAAAAGAGAGGCACCAATTGAGAGAAGATCGACTCAATTTGGGAGAAGAAAAAGGGAGAAACTGAGAAATCAAGCCACAAGATTGAGAAATAGAGCAACAACCTGAGTTTTTTCTTATCTTTCTCTCCTTCATGCAATTTAATTTGTATTTTATCATTTTCTTCTTCTCAATCATGAACTAAGTTATTAAATCTAGGGTTTGATGTAACATATTTGAGACATGATTCAATTTCTTCATAGTATTTCCATTTAATTTTGCAGAATTGAATTTGTATTGTTCTTGCTTAATACTTTCATTTGCCTGATCACCAATTGAATGAATTGATGTTCTAAATTTGACGCTCGAGAGAGGAAAATTTTCTTGAGCATTTTTGAACGTTTTGATGTGTGTGTTAGTATTGTTTTGCAGTTTGGACAATTCTCAAGAAAATACCACTATTGGGAGTCGGTGATGAGCAAAAATGATGATCAATGAAATGGAGCATGAATAAGCAAGTATTGAATAAGATTGGAGTGGAAAATAGGCTTGGAAAAATAAAGAGAAGAGGAGTAAAGCAGTGGCATTGGCGCTATAGCGCCGAAAAAGGGGCGCCATGGTGCCCCAAAGAGAGGCAATTCCAGCAGAAATCTGAGCGCCATGGCGCCCAAGGAAGAAAAAAAGAAGCAGAACATTCGGTGCCACGGCACTAGACCTGGGCGCCATGGGCAGAGACTTGGGCGCCACGGCGCCAGATCTAGGCGCCATGGTGCCCATTACCAAAACATTAAAATCCGGGTTTTTAAGTATCTTTTTGGCCCAAAAATCATACCCTAGCCTTTGAGGACCCTTAGAAAATATAAATACCCAGCTGAAGAACAAGAGAAGGGGGTTAGACGGCTGAAGAGGCAAGAAAAAGAGAGGCACCAATTGAGAGAAGATCGATCCGATTTTGGAGAAGAAGAAGGGAGAAACTGAGAAATCAAGCCACAATATTGAGGGATAGAGCAACAACCTGAGTTTTTTTCTTATCTTTCTCTCCTTCATGCAATTTAATTTGTATTTTATCATTTTCTTCTTCTCAATCATGAACTAAGTTATTAAATCTAGGGTTTGATGTAACATATTTGAGACATGATTCAATTTCTTCATAGTATTTCCATTTAATTTTGCAGAATTGAATTTGTATTGTTCTTGCTTAATACTTTCATTTGCCTGATCACCAATTGAATGAATTGATGTTCTAAATTTGACGCTCAAGAGAGGGGAATTTAGGCGTGATCTAAGAACAATATAACCTAGGTTTGTAGGTTTCGAGAGAAAGTACGAATCTTTGAGGGTAAAACAAGAACCAAATGTGTGATAATCTTTATATATTTAATTCGGAATAGAGATATTGGGGTTAAAATATAGAGATAGGTTCTATTTGACGCTCGAGAGGGGGAAATAGAATTAATTTAGGATTCTTGCCTATGAATTTGGGAAATAAGTGATGGAAATATCTATAGGGGTTGAGAATCATGTTGATAATATGGTGAAATCATTCCCTAGACATTACGTAAATCTGATTTAATCTTTAGAAATTGCCTCACTTTTATTGCACTATTTAATTCATTGACGTTAATTTAGTATTCAACATTAAGTTAACACTCGATTGTCTAGATAAAGTAAACGCGGACACAATCATAGTACTCAGTGGAAGTCGAATATCAATCCTTGTGGGTTCGACACTTTTCAATTCTTTAATATACTACAAAACATGACACCGTACGCTTGCGGTAAAAATCACGTTGCATAAATTGTGTGGCAATATCTAGATGAGTAGTTTATTATCTGGCCTGTCATATTTTGATGGCAGTAACTACGTGTATTGGAAAGTTAGAATGAGAGTCTTCGTAAAATCAATGGATAAGCGTATTTGGTTTAGTGTAGTGAATGATTTGAAGGCCCTTTTTAATCACCTAATTCCTATTACTAATTGGTCGAAATCTAATTTAGATGAGTGTGGTTGGAAAAGTAAAGCCCTAAATGCCCTATTTATAGCAGTGTCCCTTTAAGAATTTAGGCAAGTATCTAGATGTTGAGATACTTTATAGATCACACATAAGGGAAATCAGGCAGTTAACTCCAAGTTATTAATGTAGAACGCCAGATTTGAAGAGATTAGGATGAAAGAGGATGAGACAATCAATGACTTCAATGCTAGCTTAAATGACCTAATTAATTCTAACCTCAACCTAGGTGAGAGAATTCATGAGCCTAAGATTGTTAGAAAATTCTTAGATCCTTAGCTGAGAGATTTATACCTAAAATCACAACTATAGAAGAGAGTAAGGACATATATGCTATTAAGGTTGAAGAGTTGTTGGATATCTCTAGACTTATGAACTAACACTAGCTAAACTTACAAAAGATAAGTCTTTAGCCTTAAACATTGTGATTACGCTCAAAATATAACGCGATGATTGTAGTTTAGCCTTGGGGTGTCGATTCCACAGGGAGATGGGAAATGCTCAAAGGATTAGAAGCTTAGGGGTTTCGGGAGTTATGTGAAACTAGTTTATCAATTTGGAATGAAATTTAAATATCAATATATGAAATTAGTGTAGCAATAGAATTCACTCAATTGGGTTGGATCGATCAACATCAACAATTCATGTATTATTACTTAATTAGAGGTTTTCATCCCAACTCTCTAATTGGAAGATTTAATAGTAAAGATCACTTTAATTCCAATTGTAATTCTAAGATTTAGACTTTCTAACACATTCCCACAATTGTTATTGGAGTAAGATCAAAAGTAATCATATACTTCAAGTATAATATCATAAATAACCCACTAATAACATAAATGAAATTGCAACTCAATAAATATTTCGATCAAACAATAGAAAAAACATGACTGAATCTATGGAAGATCTAATAAAAATTTAACCAATTTCAAAATCAATTCATAAGGAGAAAGTCTAAAATCTAGAATTGTTTGACAATAAAATACTAGATTACATGAACAATTGATATGATTTCCCCAAATCCAATGAGTTCCTTCCAAGTTTCACCAAGGGTTTTAGCTCTTCATAGAATTCTTGAGCCCAAAAACCAAAGAAAATTGATGTGTGGATCAATTCGGGCGTTCTGGGATGAGATTAGGGCTTAAAACGTGTGCCCAACAAGTTTCCATAAGTGTCCGCGTCAAAATAGTAATATGGGATCTTGCCCTTGGAAAATGCCCATGCGGCCGTATGGTTCAACCAAAATGCCCCCAAAAGTTCTCGAAAGGTATCCATGCGATCTTATGGTTGTTTCAATTTCCTTCGCCAAAAAGCTTTTAATATTTTGGCCATAACTTTCTCTCATGATATCCGATTGAGGTGATTCAAGTTGTATTGAAAAGTTAACTCAAAGGGCTACAACTTTTCTTCAGAAGTAATCTTCCACTTTGATCATTTGACATGTAAAAATGGGTCCCAATATGAGGCTGAAAACGTTGCATAACTTTTTTCGATTGGGAATTGATGTGTGGTCAAACTTTGATGGTATTTCAACCCTTTGACTTCTTTTCTCATCTACTTGACCTTTAACACTTTCGAATCTTCATCATAAGGTTAGACACAAGTTTGGAGTATTTGCACTTTTGTCCCTGGACTTTCATTTTCTTCCACTTTGGTCATTTTCGCTCTTTTCTTCTATCTTCCATCTTTTCTATTAAAATGCAACCCGAATCAAAATATAAGTATAATGAGTACATTTTGGTATCAAATAATCATATGAATGCAATAATTAAAAGAAAAAATATTAAAATTTACATTATTATCACATTCTTAGGGATAACTGTAATAAGTCTTCTGCTTCGGAGTCACATAATGATAAGAAGATAGCTTATTTTGCTAAGAAATTTTTTAAAATATTTAGAAATAAGAAAATGCCTCAAGAGAGACGTAGAGGTGCTCCCAGTGAGTTTAGAAAGAGATCTCAATCTGTAAGATATCATAACTGTCAAGGTTTTGGCCATTATAGGAATGAATACTCTAACAGTAAGAGAAGTAAGTATAAAGCTATTAATTTTACTCTCACTAATAATGAGTCTAACTAGGATAATCAAAGTGAGAGGTCCACTCAGGATGAGAACAGGAAATATATAGCCTTCACTGCTGGGATTGGGAATGAATTTGATAAAGATGGTGGGAAAGTTGAGAATGAAGATAGTGGTGAGCAATTTGAGGAGGATTTGAAGATAAAGAAGACATACATAAAGCTTATGATAAATTATATAAGGAAAGCCTTATGATATTGACTTCCAATAAAGTGTTATGTATGAAGGTCAAAGATTTTGAGCTAGAGAATGAAAAATTAATAGCTGAATTTCAGGAATCTACTTTATCCCTGAGTAAGTTGAATTCTGTGAATGAATCCTTAGATATTCAGATTAAGAATCTTATGAGTGATCTTGAGAAGTCCTTTGGGAGACTTAGTAAGTTGAGCGTTGTGAATAACTCTTTAGAAAATGTGGTTAAGACCTTTATGAGCAATTCTGAGGATTCCAACACCAACTCCTCGCATTCTTTAGTAGTTCATTGAAGTTTGATAGCATCTTAGGAATGAACAAGCCTACTAGTAATTAGGGAGGTCTAGAATATAAGGATAATGATTACAATATTGCTAGTACTTACAAGACCATCTTTGCCTTTGTCATTGACCAGCCTAAGTATACTCTTAACCCTGAACCCAAGGATAAAAGAATAGTAGGACGGAGGCCTACTAGACAGCATATGACCTATCAACCTAGGAATAGAAATCAACAATCACGTAACTTTGGTCTTTGGTTTATCCCTACTTATTTTAATTGTCACGAGTTAGGGCATATTAGTCCTAGGTGTCATAAATCTCTGAATAGAAATATAAATCAGAACTTTAATTAAAAATAGAAATCAGGATTTTGATAACTGAATTGACTTCCTTACTAATCAGGTGAGTCAATTGATCGAGTTAATGACATAGTTGACTAGGATTAATTCTTCCACTAGGAAAATTTGGGTGAAGAAGAGTAATCTGAAAAAATCTTGAAATACATCATAGTTCTCTAAACGATAAGAGCATTAGTGTACCTAACTGATTAGGTATCTTTGATGCATGCTTGTGCTTATCATTGTGATTCATTCATTATTGCATGCATCTCATTGTTGTGTTTGTTTTATAGGTAGTAGATTCATGTATGTGCATCTTCATCATGTTTATATTGGCACATGCATATTTTTTTGTTTTGTGTGTTGAATATTTTTTATTTTGTGTGATTGGAGCATTCATTTAAAAAAAATGGGGAAAGTTTTTTAAACTACAACATGATATATGATATACTTGAACTTTTCTGTTATGATAAAGTGTGAGTTTAATCAATGTGCTATAGTATATTTTTCATTACTTGCTTAGGTTTTTATGGAGTACTTAGTATAAGTTTCTTCATATACCATCCGTACTACACACACTATGATATTGTGAGTGGAACTTGACGGAGTGTGTGAGATTTTTGGGATGGCAATCACATATTGGTAAGGTAACTTTGAATATGATTTGACCTTATTTTAGTAGCCTAAGCTCAAGCATATTCATTTGAAAGAAAAAGCTCAATATCTTATGCTCTTCTTCGGAGCATATTTTATTCGAGCAATTAAGCCCGAAGAGATTTCTCATTACCTGGTGTCTATGGTCAACTAATTTGGGTTAACCGACCTAAGACTCATTATAGGGTCATCTTAATCCCTTAATAAAGA